TAAAATTACGTGTCCAGTATGTGGAAAAGCCTCCCTTAAGACAGAACAAGGTATAATGGACAGAACCTTTGGGCAACAACCCCTAATAAAAATGGCAAAAATAAAATTGTTGATGATAACAGACATAATTTTGTGGGTACTTATGTTGTGCTAGGGTCTATACATATTCCATGTTGTCAATATATATTGTCTCTGTCCAAGGAACCTGCAGTTTGAGTAAGAATAAAACCCACAGACTCACAGATCTGAATGCTTGGTTATGAGGTGGTGGCACTATTCAAAAAGATTAGGAGGTGTGTCTTCGTTAAATAAAGTGTATGCTGGAGGCAGCCTTCTAAGTTTTCAAAAACCCAAACTGAGCCCAGAGTCTCTTTTTTTCTCACTGCTTGCAGAACCAGGTGTAGAACTCTCAGCTACTTCACCAATACTATGTCTGCCTGCAAAGACAACTCGCTCATCAACATGATAATAAACTAAACCTCTGAAACCGTAAGCAAGCTCCAATTAAATGCTTTATTTTATATGAGTTGCCATGGCCACAGTATCTCTTCACAGTAATAGGACCCTCATTAAGAGAGAACCCATCAAATAAATGTATTTATCCCACTGTATAGATAAGGAAAATGGGGCTAGTAGTGAGTGTGTGCTTTACCTGAAGTCTCACGGGTAGCAGAGATCAAGACCAAGACTGAAATTCAGATGTGTTCTAATCTACACTCCGTACTCTTAACAGAGTTAAGAGTACTCCAGTTGGACTCACCTAATGATCCACACAGCCATCACATTTTCCAGAGACACTACCTCCATGTTAACAAGTCCTGAGTACTTGGCAGGGTATTGGGTGTGTGTGTGTGTGTGTGTGTGTGTGTGTGTGTGTGTGTGTGTAACAGCTCTGGCTGTCTTCCAGTTCACTTTGCAGACCAGGCTGGTTTCAATGTCCCAGAGATCTGGCCGCCTCTGCCTCCCAAGTATGCCACCACTGTCCGGGTGACAACAAATTCTAAAATCATTAATTTATAAATATTAGAATGAAGCTGAGCAACTTTAGTTGAGTAAATTCATGTCCTTTTGCCAAGCAAAACACCCTGAAATGGAAGAACCCAGAAAGATCAGAAATAAGTGGAGAGAATAAGAACGTTTATGAGCACTGGCCTGGAACAGGTAGGCAGGGGACGGGCTGTCAACTGAGTGAAACCTCAATTACAGGGTAATCTAACATATAGCCAGTACATTATCACAACTCAATAAACAGCTTCTTCAGAATTAAGTAATTCCAATTTGCTTTCATTGCAGTCTGAGTCGCCCAATGAATGCTGATACCACCTACAGCTAAGATTAGGCTGCATCTTCTAAAGCCCTGATTTGCACTGTGCTAGGATGCTGGTGAGCCAAGGAACATGAGGGCACGTCAGTGTGCATGGAGGCAGGGACTCATCTCAGGCTTGCTCTGCTCACCTCAGTGTGTGCACTCGGTACGGAAGCCATGGCACAGGCCTCCCTCCAGTCCTGGCACCTCAGGTACTGGGTGGGGAGGTTATGAGCTCTCAGTCACAGATAGGTCACAGTTTGAACAAAGGGCACAACGTGTAAGAGATGGCCCGTGTAACCAGGTGGTGCTGATGATAGCAGGACCAGCGACTGAGTTGCTGTAACTCCTCAAAAGTAGACACTAGAGGGGACCCAGAGACCTCTGACCTATACCCCATAATGCTGATGCTCCCAAGCGACACTTTCATGCATCTCTCTTTCCTTCTGCTCAAGCATTACTACATGGGGATTAAGTACCACCCTCTACTTTACAGAGGCCTTAAATGATTTCTCCAAGGCCACAGAGGTACTGGGTGAGGCCTCTGGTCACTGAGTCGCACCTGATTGTGCCATCCATTTGCTAACATCTTAGAGCATGAGGGTAAGTCACAGCTCTGAACACCCCTGCACCGGTCATCCCGTTTCACCCTCACGACACCCTCCCAGGGATAAAACCCTATCACTCTATTTCCAGATGTATCTGCTGAGGCCCTGAGAGCTTTACACCCTGTTCAAAGTCACAGAGATGAATCAAGATAGGTCCAGGATTCCAAGCGAGGCATCTGGACTCAGCCATTACTGTGTGCATGGGAAGAAAAACACACAAGGATCATTTTCTTTACCCAGTGCCCCAAAGTCAGCTGAATGATAATGTCCAACTCCTTGGGCCACACAAACTGTATAATGAGCAAAAGGCATGGTCACTCAGGAGGAGGAATGGCAGTGGGGGCCACTACTTCAACAGTAAGTGGCCCTTAGGAAGTCAGTTACTTTTGCTTTTTAGATATTTCTCCTTTCCTCACCAAAAGGATGACTGCTATTCTTCTTTTCATTTCAAATACAAGTATTTCAGAATAGAAGCATGCAAGACACCAGCTCAGCTGAGGCTAAGGGCTTTTAGTGGGGAGAATCATTCTTTATAAGACTTTGCCCTCAAATGCTCTCATCCCCTGCCTTCAAGTGATCACTGGTCACAGACTGGAAGCTGATAGGTTTCCTTTGGGTACCTCCGAGTAACCCTGCCTCTCACTGCCTTGCCTGTATTGGGGGAGCATCTCTACCTGCTTGCCTGTTATCTACATCCCTTTGGCACTTATTATAACATTGTGATACCAGGAGCCAACAAAGCCCTAATCCCCAGCCCCCTCCTCTGAACATAGCTATAGCAGTCCACCTCAGACTCAGATCCAAGCCTAACTCTCCCCTTAGGATGGCCCTCATCTTCTCAACCCTGCTCTGCTGGCTCTCTCAGCTATAAAAGAAGTTGAAATAAAACCAATGTGAATAGCTGCAATTAAGATAAAACGAGACAGCATATGTGAGGGGACCAAGCAAATGGCTTATCACCCACTCAATATTAAAATGCGAAGGAAAGGGGGACTTAAAAAGTGAAATTCTATGCCAAAAAAATAGATGAATGTCGTCAAGGTGTCATAAAATGGGGCCAGATTCCAGAAAATACCAATTCTGCTGTGGAGGAGCCGCAGAAGCTCCCAGAGCACTTCTCAGAGGAAAGCATGGGCTGCAGGGGAAGGGGTTACGGAGCAGCACGAGCTGCTGGGTCACAGTCACACATCTGACTAATGCACCCGGGGCCAGAATTCACACTCTACGCTTTGCCTTAACTAGGCCCCAGTTGGTAGAGCCAACAAAGGACAAAGCACTATCCCAGTGGCCACTTCTCCAAGCCAAGAGAGCATTGCTTCAGCAATCCCCCTGCTCTGGTAGCTCATAGATCAACACTTCTACACCTCTTCACCCTGACTCTGAGTAGAAGACAAAGGGAAAGAACAAAGCAAGCATTTTCTGGCCCCATTTTTCTATGACTACAAACTTCAAGGTACAGCACTAACTCCCACGGTCCTTCCCATCACCTCACCACCACTCTGCACCAGTCAGGTACATGCAAGGTGCCTCACAATTATGTCCCAAGGCAACCAAATCTGGGTACCTCCTGATAGGCACAACCAGACGTTTGTCTCATTGGTGAATCTAGACCCCATCAAATTGGCAGTTGTTTTGCCTAGGAAAGGAGACGAGGTGACGTGAGTGTCAATACATCACCCTCCATGTGACTATCCACCTGGAGTCAGGATAGCTCAGAATACAGAATCCAAGCAGCGCTCTCCATTCTGGTCCCACTGAAGCCACCAGTCACACAGAGCCAGGAAAGAGAAGTCAAATATTTTTTTCACCAATAAGAAGGCAGAAAACATAAGAGAATGGGGCATTCTACTGTGGGACTCCCAAAGCAGAGTGGAAAATCAACTATGAAAAAGCACAGTGAGTGTTCCAGGAGACAGCTCAGGAAATTACAGAGTCACTGAGGATTAGAAGTGCCTGCAAAGGTCACTGTGTCATACGAATCAATCTTATGGGATCAGAAAAGTTAAGATCTGAGCCTAATGTGATCAAAGTGATGGTTTCCTTTATATATTAATGGCACTTCATGTGAATGAACTTAGAGGTGCCTTTTTAAATATTATTTTGTTCATGACCACCTAATTTGCTGATCTTTGGCTTGAAGGTTCATGACATTCTGGTGATGAAGTAAGTGCCCACTGAAGCCAATATGCACTCACAGTGCACAGAAATCTCCCAGTTGAGACTCGTGAAATGATGGATCATGCCAATGAAAGCAGTCGAACACCAGCAACTTCTATTGTTCAGTGCACACAGAACCCGTGCTAGGTAGGTATAAGCCTAAAATGGGAGCGCTTGAAAGAGACCAGAGGATACCCTCATGCTTCCAGAGCTCATGTCTGAAAAGGGAGGCTAAATGAAGCACAAGCAAAGGGAAGTGTGATAAGAGCCATGGAGGTACATTATTTCCTTTCCCTATTTCTGAGCTGGGCTAGGATGTCCTGACAGAAGCAACTGAAGATAAGGTTTAATTTGGCTCATGGCTCCAGAGTTAAGTCCACTGTGGTAGACAGCCATCTCAGCAGCAGCTTGAGGCAGCTGGTTACATTCCATCCACATTTGGGAAGCAGAGGGCAGTGATGCTCGTTCTGGGCTCACTTTCTTATTATTCAGTCTGTGACCACAGCTAATGTAACAATGCTGTCCATAGCTAAGATATTCTTCCCAGCTTGATTTAATATAAATAATCTAACACAGGTACATCCCAAGGCCAATCAAATCTGGGTAACTCCTGATAGGCACAGCCAGAGGCTAGTCTCATAGGCGAATCTAGACCCTGTCAAATTGGCAGTCATTCTTGTCCATCACAGAAAGAGAGGAGATGAGGTGACATGAGTGCCAATTCACCCTCCTCCATGCGACTATCCATGCAGAGTCAGGATAGCTCAGAATACAGAGTCCAGACAGTGCTCTACATTCTGGTCCCATTGAAGCTGCCAGTCACACAGAGCCAGCAAAGAGAAGTCAAAGTTTTTACACCAATCCATGCTCAAATAAAAACAGAGCAGCAGTGACATCAGCAACCACAAACAGCCAGAGCCTTCTGAGAATCAGGCGCTGCTTTTCCTCCCTTCAAACACAGCTGGCACAATACGAACAGGTTCATTATTTCATTCACTAAATATTGCTATATTGAAATTTTAATCAGTGAACATAGCAGTGATAAAATGAATACATTCATACACCATTGCTGCCTGTGTAAACCGCCAAACCATTCTTTGCAAAAGCAATAGTACATTAGAGAGAAGAAAATTCATAAAGATATTTATATGCTTTGATCGACCAATTCAACTTGCAGAGATTTATCTAAGGAAAGAATCTGGTTCTGTAGAATAATTAAAAAAACTAAAATTATTATTAGTTGTTGTTGTTTTGGAAGAACTGTACTAAGATGTTAAGTTTTGCACACTCAAAGGAAGAAATGATATAAACAGAAACACCTGGAAATACTTAAATGACTGTGAATATGGAGATTTTTAAAAAGAGGGAAATGCACAGGACTGAACGGGCATTTGTTTCTTTTCTGCTGATGCGTAACACCGTGACCAGAGGCAGAGTTTATTTTGGCTTGTGGTTGTAGCAGGAAGTTATTATGATGGGGGAGGCAACAGCAGGCAGCCAGAACAGGAAGATGAGAGATGACATCTACAGTCACAAACACAGAGCAGAGAGAGCACAGCAGAAGCTGGGCGAGGCCAAGGCTATGACCTCTCAAAGCCTGTCCCCAGTGAGATACTTCCTCCAACAAGGCTCTGCCTCCTAAAGGTTCCCTGGCCTTCTCAAACAGTGCCAGGAACCTGAAGTCAAGAGTTCAAATGTGTGAGCCTAGGAGTGATTTTGCTCACTCAAAGCAGCACAAATGGCATGTGCCTGATAAGTAGGATAGCTCAAAGAAGAACTTGAGTAGGCGTAGGGTCTGCCAGAGTCCTCCAAAGAGGCAGGAAAGGGAGTGTGGGATTTGAATGAGGATTGCTTCCAGAGGAGCACACATTTGAATATTTGGTCCCCAGTGGATAGAACTTTTTGGGAAGGATTAGAAGGTGTAGCCTTGTTGAAAGGGGTGTGTCAGTGGGGGCGGACTTTGAGGTTTCAAAAGCCGAGGCGATTCCTAGTTCATCCTCTCTTTGTCTCGTGCTTGTAGATCAAGATGTATGTGCTCGGCTACTGCTCCTGATGGTGATCTATGCCTATTTGTCTGCTTCCGTGTTTCCCACCATGACAATCATAGACTCAAGCCCTCTGAAACCATGAGCCTCACATTAAATGTTTTATTTTATAAGCTTCCTCAGTCATAGTGCTTTGTCCTAGCGACAGGAAAGTAAGACAGGGGTCCACATGCATAAGGGAAATCATGGACATACTTCAAGGTGAACAAACATAAGAAAACAGATGAGCGTTGACTCAAGACCATTTGGGAGGGAGGCTCCCTCTTTTAACAGTCTTCCTGAAATATTGTCATTATATGGAACTTGCAGCTAAAAAGCCCTCACAAACAATTCTACGAGAACATTTCAGTAGGACATTCCTAAACCACAAAGGACATGTAACCATCTTGATTTGAAATACAAATCCAAGTCAAACTTGCAGGTTGTGTCTGTGGTAGATATCCCACATGTAGGTATCTCATATGGGAGAATGTTCTGGAAAGCAGTGACTGTAAAGCTGTCTTGTGCTGTTGGGAGGAGGAGGAAGCAATAGGCGAGAGAAGGGAGTAGCTGTATAAAAATGGAGTTGAGATCCTGTAGTCAGCCACCTGGCACAGCGTGAGGCGACACTCACCTTTCACAATCAGCTCTGCATAGTTGGACACACCAGATCCACCGTCTGAGCGGATTACACAGCGATACTTGGAGATGCTGCGTTGAGAGGTGTCTGCCACGCTGACTGTGGCCGAGAAGCGCCTGTGGTTGACCACACGAGTGACCATGAGGGCCGTGTCTCTGCCATTCCATTGCTGAAGACACAGGAAGAAAAGAAAGAAGAAATCATAGCACCAGGGCTTCCCAGAAACCTTCAACATAGACCCCATGACCCTTGAATGCTCCAGGGGCCTAGGATTTCCTTGAAATAGAATGACAAACTGCTTCTATCTAGTCTGAGCTATGGTTCTGACTCAATCCCCACCCACCGATTGCACTACCGCAGGTCTGTCAGTCCAGCACTCTAGAAGCTGAGGCATGTGGCTTCCAAGTTTGAGGCAAGTCTACATAATGAACCCTGTCTCAAAAAATAGGAAGAAAGGAAGAGAGGGTGGGCAAGAAAAAATGATTCAAGAGGAAGGATGTCTGCTTGGAAGGAAGGAACTGGGACAAAAGCTTCTCCTAATTGCCTCAGCTCCTGGCTCAGCACACTTTTGGAGTTGGTTTTATTCCCTTAACCTTCCCCCTTCTTATTTTCCTTCAATCTCATAAGCAGAAACTGCAATATTTCCCCAAAGACGGCCTTTAGCAGATTAACAAACAATTCAGCCCACATAGAGTTTTAGTAATGTGCCTTGCTCTCAGATCCTCAGCTGGTGATCAATGTCTCAATGGCATTGACTCCCATCTGCCCCAGGCTGTCACTGTAGATAATTTTTACCTCCCCTCTTTGCCATGCCTTCTTTCCTCTGCCCAGAATGTTCTATGTCCCTGGGAACAGCCCCTTTCCCACTAATCAATGCTTAGCCTGCCACTGCCTCTAGGAAGTTCTCTCATCAATCACGCCACCATCTGAAAGGCAGCTGTGCCTCTCTGTACTGTGCAAACCTTTCCCACATCCTGGCCCATGACTGTTCCCCACTTGAGACCATGAGTCCCCAAGAGACAAAAATCCCATTTATTTTCCTATGCCAACTCTACCAAGATTTGTAGGATCAGGGCAAATACACATAAGTGTTTGTCTTCAGCAACCTGAATTTTAGGTGTGATGTTTTGGGTTAAATAGATTCTTTCACAGTAGCAAGCTGTAGTAGCTGGGAAGGCATGCATGAGGATGCATTTTGAGTGGATATTTACTAAGCACCTAGTATGCAGCTGATCCCGAGCTGGGTGCTTTTGTATAATCCTCCATTTTAATCTTCACAGCCTTGTTGAGGTGTGTGTTATTGCTGCTCTTCTCAGAAGAATCAAATGTCAGAGAGGTTAAATAAATATGTAGAGCAAACACATCCCTCATCCAGGCTTCCCCGCAGCAGCTCAAACATTTCTCCCTAAGACTTTATCCCCATTGCCTGCTTTAATGTAATTTTTATCTCTCAAGTGAAACAGAGGGTTTTAATTGTCTGGTTGGATTTAGAGAAACCTGGCTATTTACGATTCCCAGGCCCCATGTCTTTCCAGATGAGATCTCTTTTGCTTCTCCCATGAAGTACATAATCTATCCATGTGCATAATCCATTTTTTTCATGTCACTTTCCAATCTCCCTCCCATCAGGGACATGTTAAGATGGGGATACAGGAATGGGCAGGGCAGCTGATGAGGTAGTACCAAGCCCATTAGCATATAGCAGACCAAGAGACAGGAAGCAGATTCACCAAACTCCCACCAGAGGAAAGACCTTCTTCAAATTGGTTGGGGGAGTCAAAGAGGACAATTTCCTTCACCACAATGTTTTAACATTCTTAGGACTTTCAGTCTCAAAATGGATCACCTCTGCATTCCCAAATACTAAAGTAAATGGCATTTCCCCAAATCAGGACAGCAAGAAAGGTAGCCATACCCTCCTCCCATGCCAAAAATGACCCAGAATGACCAAATAATAATAATAATAATAATAATAATAATATAATAATAAAATAATAATAAATAAAGCCACATAAGGGAGCAGAAGTCACCAGGACTATAGCCCCCAAACACCCGTGCATGCCTTGGGGAATCCCTGCAAGAAATAATACAGCTTAGACCCAGGTACAAAAAGCTACCAGATACTAAAGAACACCCCCACTTTATGGTAGTGTGATAAGGAGGTTGAAAAGATTCTGGAAAATAGGAGAATTGAACCCTGATTTGGAAAAGGTGAAGAATGTACAGGGGAGGGGACTTGAGAAGATATAGGGCCACCCAAAGTGTTCCATCTTCACCCTTCCTTAGCAAGATAGTGCAAGAACACTTTAAAACAAGCATGAGTCAGTGATAGAGGATCAGTTAGATATTGTCTGACCCGATTTATTTTTAAAGCTTTCCTTTCTTTCCCTCTCCCCTCCCCTCTATTTCTTCCCATACACAATAGATTCATCAAAACCTGTCCACCTGTGGAGCTACTGTGAGCCATAAATGAGAAGGTACACAAAACACTTAACATTAAGGCACATTCTGGTGTTACAAGAGTTTGCAAATTAACCATGAAATCAGCAAAGAAAAATTCTGTCAGTGGAATAATAGCTCCCCTTCCAAAGATTCAGACACCCTAATACCCAGAACCTGTGAAAATGCAAACATATGCATATACAAACATATATATATATGTGTGTGTACGTGTGTATATATAATACACACACACCTGGGATCAATGTACCACAAAGACTTTCAAGCTAAAGTGGGGGTGGGGGAGCATGAGTGTCAGAGAAGAAGGTATGGGTAGAAGGACAGGTTAGAGGGAGGCAGTATTCACTTGAATCTGAAGGAGGGAGTCAGGAGCTAACTGACTCATGAGTATTGTTTATAATAGGAAATTGCAGGTCACGGTATCATTTATAAGTGGGAAGGCATTCTCCCCAGACACTCACAAGCATGCCAACCTTTTGTCATTTTAAAAACAACATCATCATCATCATCTACAAAGTTCACAATAAAAAGAAAAAAACTACAATCAAGGCTAGAGAAATGACTTAGCATTGCCTGCTCTTCCAGGGGACCTGGCTTCAATTCCCAGCATTCATACAGCAGATCATAATCATCTGTAACTCCAGTTAGAGAGCATCCAGTGCCCTCTTCTGGTCATCTTGGGCACTGCATGCATATGGTACACAAATGGACACATACATACAAAATTAAAATAAATATTCTTTTGAAATTAACAAAAGGACATGCAACCAAACACAAAAAGAACTGCAGAAACTTCACAACTTCTACATTTACGATTTTGCAGTGGGCTTCACTCCTTGCTATCCAGGGCCACGTGCAGTCTATGGGATACACCCTCAGGGAACACAGCCCACCAACACCTGAGTGCCATATGCAGGACTCGCTGAAGCTCCTTTCTGACTGCTCATCTCAACAATGGCAGAGAAATAAATTTGTTCTGAACCGTTAGGTTTGTAGAATATATTTCAACCGCAATAAGAAACTAATACTAAGAGAAAGGGCTGGTTAAGTGCTAAAGCTGCATTGTGCGCATTTACATTTTATCTTGATGTTGCCTCCAGTATTATTTACTTATCTTCTTAATGATGTCAGATTCTGGCAGGACTGAAGAGGATTAAGTGCATTCCCCTGAACCGTTCACATTTTTTTTTTCTGTTCAGCTCCTGAACTGAGAACCTTTCTCCCACTGAAGGATAGGAAATTGCAGGTTGTCTTATGAAATCTCTGGAAAGCAGGCCCTTTTGATAATCACACTTGTCATATTGGGAGCAGGTAACAGCAGGGCAGGAACAAGCAAGAGGGCCCCCGAGTCAAGGCAGGGAGAGTGCAGGGATGGACTGTGGGCAAGGAGAAATGGAGGTTAAATTCAGAAAGAGGAGCGCTGGTGGGAACAGCCTGTGAGTGTGACTGGCGCAGAACAGGCAGGGAAGAGCAGGTGAGGGCTGGAGGTCAAGGTGGGCAAGCAGGATGGAGGACTCCAGAGGAAGAAATCACGGAGTACTCCAAGAGCAGGGCATGCATGCTCAGACAGGAAGAGACCCGGGTGTTTGAATGCTATGACCACGCGAAGCGATTCAAACACAGTGAGTGTGTAGGAAGCATGTGTCATAGCTACTGGTCCAATAAAGGCAGAACAGGAAATGCAAAGGAGAAAACAAGAGGGAATTCGGTGAAACAAGGGAAGGACTTGAAATCTAGGCCCATGAGCTTGATTGACAAGGGGGACATCATCGTTTCATTTCTTTTGCTATGATGACATAAAGCCATTTAGAGGAGAAAAGGGGTTGTCATCTGGCTCATAATTCGTATTAAATCCATCCTATCAGGGAGTCCCAGGGAAGAAACTTAAAGCAGCCGGTCACATCCACAGTCAAGAGCAGGGAGAAGCGAATGCATACGTGTTTATTACTGAACTAGCTTTGTCTATTCTTCTGCAGCCCAAGTATAAAATCAAGGACTGGTACCTTTAACTTTTCAACAGTGTCCTTGCTAAGTAATCGAGATAATCCCTTACAGACCTGCTGATGGGCCAACATCTCAGATAATCCTTCACTGAGACCCTAGGGTGTGGCATGAACACTTGGCACTGTGTATGCCACCATGCTACGTAGTGATATCTCATTTGTACTTTAATAAATAAAGCTCGCCTGAAGGTCAGAAAGTAAAACAGCCTTCTAGGCCAGGCAGTGGTGACGCACACCTTTAATTTTAGTAGTCACGCCACTTTGCCATAGAACCGGGGCTGTCGTGGTGCATGCCTTTAATCCCAGCCCTAGAGAGAATTATAAAAGGGAGGAGACAGCTCTCAGACACAGTCTCATTTTGATGATTCCTGGAGGCAGGATCACCATTTCCAACTGAAGTAAAGGAAAGAGTCAGTGGCTGGCTGTTTAATTTTTCTGACCTTCAGGTTGAACCCTAATATCTGTCTCTGGGTTTTTATTAATCATTCTACAATGCCAAATTTGACTGGTCAGCTATATTTGATTGTTAGAACTCTTGTTTGAGTAGCTGACTTGAGTTTTATTTTTTTAATTATTAAATAAAACAATTTCTGAAATGGCCCTAAACATACTCTGCAATTTTGTATTATATATTTATATAGAGCAGAGTTCTTATCACGGGCAATTATAAAATTAAAATATTGATCAACTCTTAAAATAGTTGAAG